TATACGAAAACATGTATACTCATAGTTATGCACATATATATATATATTTGTATCTCTCTCTCTCTCGTTATCTATCCATATATATATATAAAAGTCTATATATTTGATTCTGTTTTTTTCCTTTGATATGTACTGTACGGTACTGTATGTGTATATATCTCCATTTGCTACAAAATAACGCGTAATTAGAATCGATCTCCCTCACGTGTAGCCAAAGAGGTGATGGTTTTGTGGAGAGATTCCGTCCGATGCGTGCCCAAGCATCAGCTGCGAATACCTCATGTGCCCAGGAAAGTCAAGGAGCTTCCGCCCGTGTCCGAGGAGCGTCGCTCACTGTGCTGAAGCAAATGAAGAACGACGCTGTGAGTCTATTGAGATTTTGGTGCTCCAAGAATATGGAGTCGAACTTAACTGGTCAAGGGGACAACAACATCCACTCCCAGTTGAAGGAACAGTCTATACATATATATATATATATTGAATTTTATAAAGCCATTTGGTAAAAAGGCATGTTTTAAATGTGCTAAAACCGATGCTCCGGTTGTAGCTTGGGCAAAACTCCAGGTGGATTTGGGTCAATGGTGATTGACTTTGTGGAGAGAGACTGGGCCAGAATAAAACCAGAAGAAAATGGTCATGCCTTCATTTTGGCAGCACAAGCGGAACATGTCATGACAGTATCCAGATTTAGCATGTTCACCAAATGTTGGTTTGTTTGGCAATATCCAGATTTGAACTATGACATGGCGGTCAAAACGGGCCTTCATGGGAGGAAGATCCGTTTTCTACGGTTGGACAAGCCCCTGCACCTACAAATACGGGATCTGACCTGTTCCAACAGTAGCACACGGTCCCTAGTGGAAAAGGATGTTTTCAAGCCTATCCTGGAGAGGACTACTGAGGAGTTCACCCATAGCCACATCAAGTGTTACAAAAGAAACAATCCCCGCGAAAAGCGTTTGATTTGCACGGCTTTGTTGTTTCAGTGTTTTTTGTTTTTTAACTTGCGCACGATCCAGGAGCAAGGACGCTACTAGGGGCTCCCGGGCTCCAGGCATCGCTACTAGCAGCAAGAAGCTACTAGGGGCTTCTGGCACCATGGTGACCACCCATGGTGACCGTTTGAAGTCGGTTCCCAGGCTCCGAAAGCCGGACTCCAAATCGGACGGACTCTGGCGCCTTAAGGACCTTACCCAAAGTACCCATAGTACCCACTTCTGGGGGAAGTGACGAAAATCTGATATGAAATCAAATATGAGTCCAACAATGTCCAACATATGAGAGTTGAACTCCTCCTCTTTGAAATCTGACATCTTGTTCAATTTGATCCCGTCATTTTTTTGCTCTTGGCAGGAGGATTTCGAGGAGTTGAGCCTGGACATGCGTGAGGGCTTTCGAGGCGACTAATGCCAAGGCCTCCGCTGCGCTGGGATTGAAATGGTCCAGATAGTCAGTGGTAGACCAGTCAGCAGAAATTGCATCCTTTGATAATTGCCATGATTGCTTTGGTGCCTGAGTTGAAATGTTAAGTTTTCTGGATGCCAAGTTGCCGAATGTTTTTGTTAATGCTGTTTCCTTTGCTGGGAGGACTGAGATGTGGCATAATGCAATAAGATGCCAGCTCTCCTCTCACGCTTGCTAGCAGGATCATATCAAACAGCACATACACCACCCTGCATTGGTGAGACTGGTACGACAAAGTTTCGGGACCTTGCGTCACGCGAGTCGGCCACCCTTTCGTTCTATGCACCGAGTCTGTTGCACCCAATGACCGACTTGGTGCGCGGCTTGGACCTCCTTTTGGCCTTTTACTCATGGTTGGTTGATTCATAAGTAATACAGGGTATACCCCAGAGGCCGTAGAAACAGGGTGAAGACTCCTCAGTGTTTTTCAAGACAGCGCATATCTTGGGGGTAAATCTTGATTGTATATAAATCGTATAAATGCTAAATCATATGCACAAATAACAGTGTATACATCGAATGAAAGCATGCATGCAGTTGGACAGACACCCCCAATCCATGTTTTGTCTGACACAAACCGAAACCCGCAGACCACACATGACCACACGACAGTCCACCGTCAGACAATTGGGTCCATCGTCAACGATCTCCGGACTCCCCGTCACCTCATTTGGGTCACCGATCCTCAGGACATCTCCGAATCGGAGCTTTTGGCCTCCACGGCCACGGCCACGGCCCGCCAGGTCGAGCCTCCCATGCCGTGTCTTAAAGCGCAGCGCAGGGTCGGACAGCCAGTGGCAACTGAAGCGGATCAGAACTGGTGAGACCACATCAAAACAGACCGAAACAGACCAAAGCACAATTGTATGACATTGAAAACAACAGGCTTCTTTCTAAATCTTCTTTTGAGAACTCCAAGTTATGGTCGGTATTGTCCTGTGGCGAGAAAAGTTCATCAACAGCATGGCAAGTTCTTCCAGTTTAGCGGCATCATCGTCGTGTTTCATCGCTTTTTTGTATTTCTGCTTGAGACGAAAGGATGAACGGTCTGGAACAGAGGATTCACTCGGATTCACCTAGCTATCGTTGGATCGCCAAGTGTATGTTCCGCTGTGGTGTGCCAGAAGGAAAGTGCCCGGATTCACCTGCCATGAAGTGCGGTTTCAGCGTGCGATCATGCAGATTGATGGCCTTAGATAGTTAGACGGTGGGAAGTGATGAGAAGTGGACAGGCAGAGATCTTCTATGCTTTTCCAATGATATTTTCAACGAACTTGCTAAAGTGGCACAGTGGCACCAAACCAGAGGACGATTCGAGAGAGTGAGTCCAGTAATTGGCCTTCTGGCCGAACTCCAAAGGAATCCACGCACATTGACTTGTAGTTCCTTGTCGCCCCAGTAGTCCAAGTTCGTTCAGCTTGAGTTCCCAATAAACGTGTTTGTTTTTTACACAACTGCATGCACACAGGCCATTGATCTCAAAGACAATGTTGCACCATCCACTTGTACAGTGTCATGGCAGCAGGAACCCACAGATGCTCTGGAAAAAGGCTCAGCAGTTATTTGATTCTGAACCAGTAGACTGCAGACGGGGTCTGATGATTCTAGATTCTATGCGGGGCCCTGACTAGAGATATTTGGTTTAGTCTCAGAACAAGTGGGCCTTCCACCCACAGCCTGCGTTTACAGTTTTATTTCACCCATGGTGTCGTTTTTGGCTCTTCAACAGAATTAGGCGTCATCCCCCTCTTTTGACTTGAAGCGCCGCCATCCTGCACACATCCTTCGGATTGGCCAATACATGCCTTAACACGTGGATTGTTCTCACACGCAAGGCGTAGTGCCTCCCAATTCGCTTCCTCAGGCGCACAGAAGTCCAAGACTACCAACTGCAAACTTGGTAATTGTCTGACAGGCATACCATCCAAAAGCTCGGCTCGCCCATCTCTTCACTCAAGAGTCTTAGTCAAAATCTTGAACATCCAATCTACCCAACCTCCCCCGCGAGGAAACCACTGAATCCTCCACCTAATATACATGGATATCCAATATCCTAGCTTCCCAACTCATCCTTTGGATGAATGATCCATTTGCTTGTAGGGGTCCCTGCGGGAATCCCCTGCTGGGTGGAGGGATTATATATATCCCTGCTTAGGCCTTTCCACTCAGCAGTGTGTAGATGTATGCACGACGGGCAGCTTCAGGCAGTTTATCCAGTGTAAGAAACTTGTTCTTGACCCAAGTCTTCCACCGCCGATATTCGCGGCCATCTTCACTCTCACCTGAGAAACCTCGAACACCACCTGTGTCACCAGTGTTCGAGGAGGACGACATGTCACGTGTGAGGACCTGCACCTACAGGTCAACCAACCATGGCGCGGGAGCCAGGGCTAATCCCTGGCTCCGCTACCAATAGCGGAATCGACCTATCCTCCCCAGAGGATCGATGGGGCGCTCCTTTACTCGCCTGAGCATGGAAGTTCCCTGCGGATATACACCTGTCACGTGTGGACAAAACGATATATATATATACATGGCCTCGGCCAGAAACTTGGCACGGATCTTCTCGAGCAAACCTGCATAAGTTCACTTGGGCTCATGAAGGGCGCTGGAATCCACTAACTTCACCATTGGTGGCAAGAGGCTCCTCTTGTTGCTGAGCTCCACTCTGCTCAACCTTCCAGAATGAAGCTATTGGGTCAAGAGGCTCCATACGGGCAAACCCTGCAGAATGAGGTGTTTGGCCTCCACTTTGTTTGTTTTTGGTATTTGCAGGCTTCTAGCCATCAGTATCAAGCCTGCTTACTGGACCCCACTAAGTTCATTGTATTCATTGTATTCTGCCAAGGGCTCTTTGGGGGCAGCCCGCTTTTGCACCAGAATGGTGGCGCAGGACCACCAAACTGCACCACAACTGGCTCAGCGAGAAGTTGACTAGCTGGATAGAAAAACTTATCCAGGTTCAACTCCTCCTTGGGTTATTTGGTTGTCTAACCTAGAGGGGTGAGCCAGGGGCGAGGAAGCAAGTGTAAAAGTGGAAGAACACAGTTTAGCGGAAATCATTGACTTGAATGTGGAAGCAACTGTGCAAGAAGAGGGTAACAGTTAGCGGAAGCCAGTAACTTGAATGTGGAAGCAATTGTGAAAGAGGAGGGCAACGATAACAGTTTAGGGGGGGCCATCAGCTTGAACGTGGAAGCAACCGTAAAAGGAGAGGACAAGTTTGGCGGAAGAGGGTGGAGCGGGAAGATCCAGGCGATGGAAGGCGCCAACATCCGCCAACTCTTGAAAATCAGTTGCTGGGTGTGTCAAGAGAATTTCATGGGGTCCTGTCAAGGCCAATGGGTTGGGATCAAGTGAGCAGCTTGTTTGATCCATAGGGCTTGGACCAGAGCTTTGGTCCATAGGTTTGTATCACTGCCGCTGCTGCAAAACGATCCATGCCAGGGTTTTCGGCCACACCCATTAAAAACAAAATCTAAAAGTACAAATATATGTATATATATATAGTTTTTATGCGATACAGAGCTTCCAGAGTGCAGAAGCCTCCAAAATCCAAAATTAGCCGACGAACATCAAGGTTCAAAAATGGAGCATAGATGTTGATTTTTTCTGTGTTTGTTCCAGTCAAGCCGGACCACAATGTTTTGGATGTGGCCCTTTCTGGATGCGGGTCAACGTCGACTGTCAAAACCCAGTTTCTTTTGGTTTTACACGACAATTCTCTCAAAAAAATATGATTCAGGAACCTGCAGATTCTAGTGTGTGTTTCTATTGGTCACGATTTGTCACGGGGGTTGGATGGCACCCGCTGTTTTACCTGGATGGAGATCCCTAGTTTCACCAACATGTTTAGTTTACTGATGGTCATTGACCATCAGGTTGGTGCATGTGTGTGGGTGTGTCTCGGGCCCCGGGTGTCTCAAGGTGGATTGAAACATTTAGTCACAGTGATTGGGCCCAGAGCCAGAACCTTGATTGTTCCACATAATAATTTCCAAAACAATTGGTTTCGCCAGTGCCAGAAGTGACGCGAGGCTTGGGCTCAAATTCGCTTGAAGCTAGCGCCGGAGGCGCGTCATGTAACTGAATTTGTTTGCGGAACTTTATTTTGTGAGAGGTTGGCAGCTCGAATTGGAAAGGGGTTTTCCTGCTCTGCTCGTAAATAGATACATATTGCAATATAATACGTGACAAATAGGACCGTCTAGCATGTTACAGAAGTGCTCAGCAGGTAGATTTGTTATTAGTTTGTTCTGTGGTTCTCCAAACTTGTTTCTTGTAGGGTTAGTTGTATCAGACTGTTCAAATCTGTGCACGACTTGAATTGACATGTACAAGTATATAGATGTATTTTGGTGCATGGGATACATCCGAATCAGTTCTTGTTATTAGTCTCAGAGCGGAAAGTTGGTAAAGCAGCTGTGAAGCTGCGGCGGTGGTTCTCCGTATCGATCTGGCCGGGTTGGAACATGAAAGTTGCCGGCCAACGCTCTCTTCTGACCTTCTGAGCGTCCATGAACCTTTCAGGCCTTTGCTATCCATCACGAAGATAGCTGCGATGAAGGAACCTGTTGGAGGAACGGTGGACACGGTGGTGTTTTTTTTGTGAACCTGCCATTTTGATTGGCAGAACGGACATGTTCTTCCACCGCAAGCGCCTGCAAGGAAGCCCCTGCCAGGCATGTCATGCAGTTCATCAACTTGGTTTGCATATGTTGACATTCCTAAATGTCCAAATATGTTCAACATGGTCACTGGCTTTGACCAGATTTCATTTGGTCACATGAATCCTCACCGGCTTCGTCACCTCGTCTCCAAATCTCAAAATCTGCACAACTGGCTTTAACCTTCGATGATTCGCAGGTGAGGCGCAGCCTTTGTCAGCTAGGCCCATCGTCCCTCGGTCGGCGCTTGGAGCGACTTCGATGTGGTTTCGCCAGCCAGCGAGCAGTTCCAAGGTTTTCTGGTTTTGGCATGCCTCTTGAGTCGTTAAGGGAGACCAAGATTTGCACCCGAAGTCATCACACTCAAATCATGGTGAGTCCTTCAAATGGAGGTCGGGGTTCTTTTCTTTACGGTCACCCATTTTGATGGCAAGCCACTACATAAATACCTGTAAGTCCAATGTAAACCGAACCTGACAGCGGGCAACATGTGGGTGGGTGTTCCCAGACTCCAAACCCATTGGTGTGAAAAAACAAAACGCTTCATGTTGTGGGCCCATCGTCCCATCCGGTCCCATCCGGTCCCATCCGGTCCCATCCGGTCATTAAGACTTCCTCAACAAACCGACGAAACCACCTCATTGATCCATGGGACCCTGAGGTACATTAAGCTAGGCCAGGCCTTGGCCTCTCGCCGGGAAGCTTGGCCTCTCGTTGGGCGCCGGCGGTCCCCAACGGCCTTTGAAGCCATGGTTGCACATGCAGTCACATGCAGGTTCCGGGAACATGCTACTTGAATGTATAATATAATATATATATAATATCATTAGAATGTATACTTGAATGTATATGCTTGAACCCTGTTAACTACTCTGTTCGAACGATTTCGACTGAGCCAAGTGCTGCCTCAAAAAGGCCAAGTATCGATGTTGGCTCCCTCGGAGCCGATCCCGAGGATGGAGATGGTGGTCATGTACAAGGGGACTGACTCCACCCAGCTGACTAAGCAGTTGAGGAGTGCCAAAAACGGTGTTTTTTCGTTGATAGATGCTACAGAGAGTTTCAGAGAGTGGTCAACATGTCTACACATTTCTACCATTTCTCGCTCCAATCACAATTCTTAGTAAGTTGATCCCAGCAAGTACAGAGTTCTACTGAGGCAGTGATCTATGTGTTGTGCAAATTTGGCTCATCCCTGCTAATAAGCTTCAGGTGAATCAGTGCCAAAAGCCAGCTTGACGCCCTTGAAAACCTCTTCGATTGATGTCGTTTGATTGGGCGTTTGATTCGCTGGATGTTTTTTCCCCCCGATAGATGCTCAGAACTTCAAGAATTGTCCACAAAGAGATTTGAAGTTCCTGGACCAAGGAATCATTGCATCATTCCTGTTTTCCATCGCTCCCTCGCCCTTCGCCCTTTGCCTCAAAGGCCCGGACTTGGTGGGCGGAGAACTGGCAGAGGAGCTGGTGCAACTGCAGGAGCGATGCGGCGTTCAGACGCCGAACTGGTGCGGGGTGAATGGGTTGAAAGGCAGAGGACAGGTGCAAAGAGGAGAATTATTGTCTTTGGCACTTGGGGTATTCTAGTTGCCTATTGCTGACATATTCAAGGATTTTTAAAAGGTTCGGTGGTTTGCTCACAGAAAGACCAGAAAGAGACCAACGGAAAACAAACTAGCACCAACTGCTCGGGACTTCTCCTCAATTGGAAAGCCACATCGGGTAAGGAAGCGATTGTGCCAGAACCGTCCACGCAGTAAATGCAGGGTATGTTTTGGGATTAACACAAAGAGGGTATGGTCGTTCTATGTCGTTTTTGATGTTTTTGTGACTTTTTGTGATCTGTTCCATCCTGATCTATTCGCACCTCAGGAGTATCACCTTTGAGCAAGGCCTGCAACCCAACCATGGCCCTGGTCATGAGATACACCGATATACCAAAATTTGCACCACTACGCCAATGTTCTCCTAGAGTCGCGAGTCAAGAATCGTCGAGTCAGGGCGTGGAACAAGTTATCCTATGCACTTCACCTACTGTGTTTGCCCCCACTTTGTGCACTGATAGGAGGTCAAATGTGCATTCCCTGCACCCTCCATCGAGCGCTGATTGGGCCGTTGGTGGAGATGTTTATATTTTGATCCTCGCACTGGGAGGACAGCTTGCCAGCCTTCGACACGAAAGATGCGCTTGAGGTCATCAAGCAAGAATTCCAAGGGGCACAGGACAGAGTTTGCTCAAGTGATCAGTTGTCAAGTTGTTGGAAGGCACCCCAATGTTCAGTCGGCATTTGTTTTTTGTCAGCCAATATTGTTTGGTGGCTGACAATGTGGTGTGGCATGGTCTTCTATCTCCCGTTTGGTTTCGATATGTTTTGATCAGGAATGAGTGGGGAGACGCGCAAGACACGGTGGGGAACAACAGTTTGAGGGCAAATATTCCGTTATCTACAGCGCTGGGTTTTGGTCGGGATATGTCGGCATGAAGACCAGTCTGTTGTCAGTGCCCTGATGATGACCAAGATGTCCTCACATGAGAATAATCTGCCCAACTTATATAGATCATGAAGCATAAGTGGTACAGCTTCTGGATTGTTTGAATCATCCCCTTTATTGTGATCCCCCAAAAAGCTACTCGTAGCAAAGTGACTCCTGGACAAAACCTCCTTGAAACAGTACTACTTGTGTGAAGTATCACACATATTTTATGTAGTATATCATCCCTACAATAATCCTGATTTTGCAACACTGTCTCCAAACATTGAGTGCCCAGGACCCAGCAGCTGCCCAGGAACTCTTAAAGCCGGGAAGCCCTTTCAGTCGAACACACCATTCCTTGGGATGCGAAAGTGGCTAAACATTTTGACATGGCTCAGTTGTAATGAAGTTTCTTTATAAAGGCATACACCAGGGATTAAGGATGCTCAAGGGGAATGAATCATGCATTGATCCACATAAACGATGTTTAGATGCTTTTAGATTAAGATTGCGAACACATGCGATAACCAACACACCAAGGCTCTCCTGGTTTTGGGGTGCGTTGGTTTTTAGATGTGCATGTTTTGGTATGTTTACATCTCGTCCGCGACGCCTCTTTTTAGCACCCAAAAGGTCCGAGCACAATCCTTTTACAGTACGGCATACTTACATTGAGATGTTTTCAGTTGTCAATGTAGACATTTAATTCCATACATGGAGTGTTTGGGTTTGGTTATCTTTGAGGTGTATGGCTTCTTGCGCAGAGCCAACCACATACTCTGAGTAGAGTATCATGAGTTCTATGCAGCCATCTCCCAATGATCATTGGCTGAATGGCCATTTTCGAAGCAAACTCCAACATTGATTTTGTAAAATATTGTAATGGTTGTAGCATTAAAGAAGTGCTGCCTTGAATACTCTGTTGGATTCATGCTGTTTGCAAGGAGGATAGCAGTTTTGTAGTTTCATAATTCATTTCTGTGCTTCATGCAGTGCTTTGTTCGTTTATTGTAAGTGTCTTATCCCTCATGTTTCTCATGTCCTTTCACTTCTGAGACATAGTAACTTCTTGCCCTATACCTGACTGATAGTCAAGAGGTAGACGTAGCGCGAGCCAACACTCACATGATACCTTGGTAGAAAAAAGACACCCTAATATACTGTAAGTTTGCTACTATCAGAAGCAAACGTGCCCAGCTTGGGTTTGGCCACACAACTGACCTGGAAGTTGGTGTCAGCATGTTTCAGCTAAGCGTCAGAGGAATCTGCACCAACACATTGATATGACACTTGCCAGGTTTCAGTCCAGAATTTGAGGCTTGATATAAGAATGGATGCGACAAGTTCTTTGATTTATACATAGTTTACTTTGATATAGTTTACTCTGATTTATATATAGTTTCTGAAAGCTTTTACAGCCCTAAACCTGGTCGACAATACCATGACCTCATTAGTTTTTCTGAAGACACTGATTTCCTAAATCGGAGAATGTTGTTGTTCTCTTTCATTTCTTTTCGATGGTTCCTCTTCCAATGGACCTCCGCTTCCGATCAACGCTCAACGTGGAAGAGGTCCTTGGAGGGCGCTGTGCCGAAAGCAGCCGCATCGCTGGGGCAAGTCTATCAAGGCAGGGGCTGTTACAAAAGACCGGTGATGCTGGACTTTGTGGCCCAGCTGGATCATTGAGCTATGTGGCCCAGCTATGGAGGAAACAGTGCGATAGAATTGACGCTTTCTTGACTTGCAAAGAATCGTCAGGATACCACCAGGATTGTTCTTTTTTAACACAATAGACCGATTCTAGAACGAAGGCCTGGTGGATAAAGATCGGCTATTTATTTTGTATTGTTACTGAAAGCATCATATGTTGTCCGTTTTAGCTTCCAGTATGTTTGGGCCTTCTCCGATTTCACAAAGACATGATCTGCCCAAACACCGATTTAGTATATTCAACGGCCATGAGCCACCCTCAAAAAGAGGCTTTGCCAATCTTGAACTTCAGACGCGGATGACCCAAATCATGGAAACTAACAGACTCCTACTGTATTGCCCTAACTATACCCTCACTACTAGCCACCCACGACTCCCCTTACCCACTTGGATCATAAGCCACCCACTTCCCTGTCTTCCCCTCACCATCCCGTCGTGCGAGGAGTCCTCCGTGGGCGTTCGGTGGCCGTGAAGGTCCAGCGGCCCGAGGCGCGGCGCTTGGCGGCCGTGGACGCCGCGCTGCTGAGGCGAGACCCGGAGAGGGAGTTCCTTTCGGACCCGTTGGAGGATGAACATGGTTGTGGTGGGTTGTTTGATGTATATATCGGGATGCAGGAAATCACAGAAATTGAGGGTTTGAGCGTTTTCGTGTATATAGATGTGTACATGTGAGAAAATGATGTTTTGTTTCGTCATGGTCACACTTCCTTCCCCGTGATGTCATCAAATCCACATTTATTCACCAAGAGACTTTGCACATGGCTTGGGTGTGGAGGCTATGGTGTCATTCCTTCTCAGGGATTAAGCACAATGATCACTCTGAACACCCCTGGTCCTGGTATGATGGAGAAGAGTTTCTAAGGGGGAATGCAGTGAACAAGTCAAACATATAACTTATTATTTATTATGGGTTTGTCCAGGTGTAGCATGATGTTTTCCATCAACAGAACTGCTTGTTGAGGGAAACACCCAGCAAGACCCACCACGTTGCCCCCTTCACAATGTGCATTTGTCAGGTCCCTTGCGCGTGGCGTTGAAGCTTTGCGGAACCCTCTAGGCTGGGTGACGGATGGCGGTTGAGAGTTTCTTACACAGCCTTTTGAAGGCGGACGGCGGCAAGACAATTTGATTTGTTTTAGCATTCCAAACTTAAAAGTAAAGACTATAGTTTGTATATGGGACATATATATATATATATATATGTTATGTATTTAGATGGTTTGGTTGGTTGAGGAAATACAGATAAAATGAATCATTGGAACACGTTTATGGTGTAAAGGTTAAACCAATGTCTCACAAAAGAGAGAACCAGAACAAGAGAGCTAAACATGTTTATTTGCTTTCTTATATAAATATATACATACATACTTACTTACGTTGCAAACACAACCAAACCACAACATCTACATGTGCAGCTCCACCCTAAAGGTCAGGCGGTTTTGTAGTCAGACTTACTGTAAATGTAATGTCCGAAGGCATGATGTGCCAGGCAGTTGGTTCCAGCTCCTTATTCAAATTCCATTGGTTTGAATTGACACCATGTCTTGCGCTTCAGGAATTTGTTTGTCCTAATGTTTTCGCGGATTTCCATGGAAGAATTGGTCTCCGATGTGCTTCGACCTGCAGATGGGCAACGATTGGTACGTGCAAATGTGGGGAGCTCAGAATGCTGTTTGTGGAATTGACCGCCAAGCTAATTAATTGCTACTTGGAGACACCGTCAGGCTCTCTCCGATCTTTTCCAAGAAAGACGCCGTGGAACATAAGACGCAGCACATGAAACGATGGAAATCCTTTGATTGGGTTCGTCCACAAGTCTGGCAATGTTTGATCTTTGGATATCTTTGGTCTTCTCGTTGGCTACAGTGACACTATGTGACAATTTGACAGCCACAGAACACAGAAAGCACTTCAACAAACCCTAAATGTGTATAGCCCAGACAAGCACTCCATGTATGGTAATGTAATGAAATGTATTCCTCCGTTGACCCCGGAAACCGCCCCAATGTAAATTACATGAATATCCCATACATGGAGTGTTTTGGCAGTTATCTGACTATTCTTTTCTCATCGATTCCTGTTGCTAGTAGTAACAAGAAGCTAGTAGAAACAAGTGCCACGCTAGTAGTAACAGGTGCCTTACTAGTAGTACCAAGAAGCTCTTGGGGAGCTTCAGAGGTTCCTTCACAAGAAGCTACTAGGAACAAGTGCCACGCTACTAGTAACAAGTGCCTTACTAGTAGTAGCAAGAAGCTGCTAGTTCACTGAGCCCTCAGGTCCTTGGGGCGGTCGATGAGTTCTGCTCCCGTCTCTTCGAGGAGCCGCGGGACCTCGATGGGTTGCTCGTTCCACCGCTCTGATCGCGCTGATCAGCATCCCATGGGTCTGCATCACATGAGAAGCGCCATCGGCGGATGTGGATTTGTTGCACAGGTTTGAACGTGCTGGAGGTGAGGCTCTTCAATGTGCCTGGGTCCATATAGCAGCAGTGGTAGCACTGTCACCCAAATTTGTCTTATAGGATATTGAATGATATTTACATTTATAGATGGGGTCCATAATATATCCACCGACCTTGGGATCGTGTCATCTTCTCTCAATCCACTGTATATGTAGTACATATATTTGAGAATATTTGAGACTCACCCCTCCTTCAATCCATCCCAAACACTGCGTTCTCCGCCTTGTTCTTCGAACGGAGCCTTGGTCTCAGAACGACCTCACACAAAGAGACCCCTACTAAGTGCGCCACATCCGAACAGGAGCTGGATTATCGTCGAGAGGCCTCGAACTGCGCCACCTTTGCGGCCCTCTATGGCCACCGGGCGTGGTGACCGGTCCGGTGGAGCGACGTCGTTGGAAGTAGACAGGTCGGTGGTTTGGTGTTGAGACGTTTAGTAGGCTTGTTCCAAAAGTGCGTCCAATTGTTGTTGATTCTCGAAGACCTGGACTACTAGAAAGCCAGACCCAAGGCAACATTGTTGCACCACAAACATGTCTAGCACGATCTTAGGGGCTAGGTCACATAGACCCAGTGTCCATGAATGACCGTCGGATGTATTCCGACACCACAAAAACATCCACCTCGGAGCCTCAATCGCCTGGCACGATGTATTCCGTTCCCCATGCCTCGGATCGGCTCAGGCGACCACGGCAACTATGCCTCGGATCTGCCGCCGCCAGGCGCCACGTGGGCGGCTTGGGGGGTTAGGGAGTTGGAGTCATTCTCTGTCAAGCAGTCATGCAGGTCAATCGGGTGTGGTTGTGAACCGCAGCCCTCACGCGCCGAAAACCCCCCACCAGTCTCCCAAACTCTCCTTCCAAAACAGGACGACGTTCAGTAGTCAAGGTTCTTATGGTCCTTGCCTTTGGAAAAACACATTCTTGGAGATCCATAATTGTTCCATCCCAAATCTCTGTTGGTTGCTTTGCTTCAGCTGTTATGCCTGGTTGAATCTCCAAAGGAACAAGCTTCTTCTTCTCCACAGTCATTCTCGATCAATCTTGTGACCTTCGAAGTCTGCAGATGTCAACAGCCAGCAACCTCGCAGACAGCCGCTGCCAGGATTGAAGATCCCAGAACTGGAACCGGACTTCTGTGGCCGTGGGGAAGACTCGGTGGCAGCCGTTCAGGAGTCGAGACTTCGCGGGTCGAGTGGTTGGTTTTCAAATGTGTTCCAGATCGAATCGTCGAACACGGGTGAAGATGGTTTGATAGATGTTTATATATATAATAGATGCCTTTAGTATTATAGAATATTATAGACATGTATGGACTATCATTGCATCAGGACCAGTACCCGTTTTTGCACCTGACTCGGAGCTGTGGGTTTTGAAGCTGTTTGAAGCTGTGAGTATTCCCAACACATCGGAATGGCACATCGGAGGACTTTTGGAGGACGAGGGTTAGATCATCCAGTGGATGTTAGCAAGTTGGCTAGCTATTCCCTTGTTGGAATGCAGTGACACGTCTAACCCCATGCATAATTGCTGGCAGTTTGACACCCAACCAACCTGTGAGGACCGCTTCATCCATGAATTGAGGGTTCAATATATGCATACTTTTGATTCCGCGCCCTAAGGCTTATGGGTCTTTCACCTCTACCTGGGCCGAATCCTGGGGTTGGGCCACTCTTTGGTCGAATGCACTCCGAAACCTAGGCCGAGTCTTGGTCATGGAGTTGGAGCCCTAAACTCTGAGAGGACGACGGCTGTGCCCTTACAGGACGACAGTGAAGAAAATGACCATGCGTATTTACCACTGGTCCAACCTTGATCAGAGCACACCACCGACTTGGTACCTACAACAAGCCTGTGATCATGCCCCTCCAAGGTGGGTGGAAGGAGAGCGTTTGGCACCCAGCGCAGATGCCAAAGAGGACCGAACCTGTTCCAAGCTTTTTAAACCTATATACTCACTCTTCCTCAGACGAACATCGAACTAGAGCCCCTGGAAGACCATTGCAGCCCTGAGGACTACGCAGTGAAACAAGCTGCTTAAGAACTTCAATTCTTGAGCTGAGAGTCCGTTGAATGCTCATTGAGAATCGTGGACCGAACGGCTCAGCGAAAAAGCCATGAGCCGCGAAGAGCCCGACCGTCAGAGCCACTTATTTTTTTTGCGTCGACCACACCGAGAACGTCCACGAATGGCTGGGTCTTCGTCCAATCGATTCCTGTTGCTAGTAGTAACAAGAAGCTAGTAGAAACAAGTGCCACGCTAGTAGTAACAGGTGCCTTACTAGTAGTAACAAAGAAAATACAACAAAATGGCTGGGCCTTGCTAGACAGCACGGAGCATGCTTTGCCAAGATTTTTGTGCGGCTTCCCAACAGTGAGGAACTACTAGTTCAACAGATATGAGGTCGTGTTTCCTGTGTTGTTTTTAAAGAGGATCGACAGGTGACAGAACCGGCGGATTCCTTCTCACCAGCTCACGCTGCGAGGATTTGCCTCTTGTGGAGATGGGAATTTCAGCCACGCTCTTGTGAATGTCTGAGCTCACACTGGTCCTGCTGAATCTTGATCGTTTCTTCAATTCTATAATTACTATTAATTACTGTTATGTTGTTGCATTCCGCATTCCTTTGCTGTCACTTTTTGCACTGATTGCATGAGGGCGGCGTATGAGTTCCGTTCAGCTATTTTGCATGTGTTTCCCACGACAAACAAACAAGCAAACTATATGAATGAATAAACTAAACTAGCTGGCTGACCAACTGAATAACAAGCTAAGTAACGAAGTAAAAACGAGCTAACGAACCAATGAACGAACGAACCAACCAACCAACCAACCAAGCAAACATATACTAATATTATATACTACTAACATCTATCTACTAACTTACTCATTCATTGACTAGCTAACCAACATATGCATGTATCACAGTGTAATTTAACGTAATTTATATAGTTCTTTTAGATCACACTTTAAGCATGATCACGTTGATCATGTTGGTTTGTTGTTTCACTTTAATATCCGACGCTGAGTCCGAAGCGTGGGCCTGGCCTTCCTTTCGCCCAACACCAGCGGATTCGATGTTCGGAACTACCAAAACCGAACGGAACTGCCCAATCACGGCCCCAAGGCTTTGTGCACGGAAAACTGGAACATGTTTTGAGAACAAGTACGGTCGATATCATAATACATCTATATAGGTGTGTCTATATATATATAGAGAGAGAGTGGAATGTGACACAACAATGTGAAACGGGCCCCGGGCCAAGCTTAAAAACAGAGAAATCAATTATATAAGGATCCTCGAGATGCATGCGTTCCTTTTCGTCACGCGACTTTCAGCAACCTCTCCCGATGACGGTGTATAGAGGATATCGTGATAAAAGTCATATGTATGATCTATAAATAAATATATATATATAGATATGTATCCCGCCGGGTTCACTTGAGACAGTGAGTCTTGTGTCACTCCCTGGCTCTTTTCACTGTGTGTAGAGCACAGTGAAATGGAACCCTGCGCTCAAAACGCACTGGCGCTCAAACATGCTCAAACACCTTCAGCAAGACACTGAAATTGGAACGGCAAACACATTTTCCGGACCACGCGAGTTCATGAACACATCTTGCTCAAGCAGAAAATAGTTTGTCAAGGTCGGACTGACTGCTAGATATATCTTGATTCTTCTCCAGGTCTATGATTCGATGGTGGACTTCCACGTGCTACGCCCCGAAAACCCTGCTGTGTTTCTAGAAGCTCCTAATCCTGAGGATGGGTCCGGGCCGTGCCAAATTTTTGGATAGTTGAACAGTGCAAATCCATGCACGCTACATACTTTTAAACAATGCCATGCTGCACGTCGTACTACTTTCTTAACTAAACCCATCTGGATATGAATATATGTATATATTACTCTAAACTCAGCTGGATATATTTTTAACTATTCATATTTTATAAGCATAATATATATTATGTTATATATATATTTATGCACACCAAAATTACATCTTGGCACCCTGCTCCATCACCTTGGTTTTGTATTGTGATTGTGATCAGTGATCTCATTTTTGGAGGCAGCTTCTGGGTACGGGTGTGATGCACACCGACCCTCATGGAGGGAATTTGCTGAAGGCGGGCATGTGGTCGGCGGGCAGTTGGTGTGCTTTCAGAAGTTAGCAAGGATCGCAATATTTTTTATGGATGCGATTGGTGAGCCTGCAAGACAAGGTCAATCAGTAAGCCTGAGGATCAGATTCTGTAGCCCTTACTGCAGTGAAAAGAGAGAGGATGCACAGAACCACAGCTGGTATTTTCCAGGGAGATGTAGTGAACAAATGTAAGTACCATGAAATACTGTTACCTTTCATGATCCCAGTTGATCCCAGTTGTTTGTTACCGGTTTGTTGACACACTTCGAACTTGGGTTTTCAGTTAACGCAATTGTCTCAATGG